TCATCAGGTCATTTCAATGACATGACATTTCAAGGTCATGTTTGATATCATCACTAGATGGCGCTCATTTTCATGATGTGATCATCCTACTCTGAGGCGAAATGTGTTACTTTTTATTTGATATGTTGAACTGCCCGTGGCCTGTATGTCAGACCAATGAAGTTGTATGTTGAATTTCCCTGACCAATAAAGTATTATGTTATATTTCCTTGGTATGTCTGTCTGACCAATGAAGTATTGTGTTATATTTCCCTAGGTATGTCTGTCTGACCAATGAAGTATTATGTTTTATATCCCTAGGTATGTCTGTCTGACCAATAAAGTATTGTGTTATATTTCCCTAGGTATGTCTGTCTGACCAATGAAGTATTGTGTTATATTTCCATAGGTATGTCTGTCTGACCAATGAAGTATTGTGTTATATTTCCCTAGGTATGTCTGTCTGACCAATAAAGTATTGTGTTATATTTCCCTAGGTATGTCTGTCTGACCAATAAAGTATTGTGTTATATTTCCCTAGGTATGTCTGTCTGACCAATGAAGTATTATGTTATATTTCCCTAGGTATGTCTGTCTGACCCATAAAGTATTATGTTATATTTCCCTAGGTATGTCTGTCTGACCAATAAAGTATTATGTTATATTTCCCTAGGTATGTCTGTCTGACCCATGAAGTATTATGTTATATTTCCCTAGGTATGTCTGTCTGACCCATGAAGTATTATGTTATATTTCCCTAGGTATGTCTGTCTGACCAATAAAGTATTATGTTATATTTCCTTGGTATGTCTGTCTGACAAATAAAGTATTATGTTATATTTCCCTAGGTATGTCTGTCTGACCAATGAAGTATTATGTTATATTTCCCTAGGTATGTCTGTCTGACCAATAAAGTATTATGTTATATTTCCCTAGGTATGTCTGTCTGACCCATGAAGTATTGTGTTATATTTCCCTAGGTATGTCTGTCTGACCCATGAAGTATTATGTTATATTTCCCTAGGTATGTCTGTCTGACCAATGAAGTATTGTGTTATATTTCCCTAGGTATGTCTGTCTGACCCATGAAGTATTATGTTATATTTCCCTAGATATGTCTGTCTGACCCATGAAGTATTATGTTATATTTCCCTAGGTATGTCTGTCTGACCAATAAAGTATTATGTTATATTTCCTTGGTATGTCTGTCTGACCAATAAAGTATTATGTTATATTTCCCTAGTTATGTCTGTCTGACCAATGAAGTATTATGTTATATTTCCCTAGGTATGTCTGTCTGACCAATAAAGTATTATGTTATATTTCCCTAGGTATGTCTGTCTGACCCATGAAGTATTGTGTTATATTTCCCTAGGTATGTCTGTCTGACCCATGAAGTATTATGTTATATTTCCCTAGGTATGTCTGTCTGACCAATGAAGTATTGTGTTATATTTCCCTAGGTATGTCTGTCTGACCCATGAAGTATTATGTTATATTTCCCTAGATATGTCTGTCTGACCCATGAAGTATTATGTTATATTTCCCTAGGTATGTCTGTCTGACCAATAAAGTATTGTGTTATATTTCCCTAGGTATGTCTGTCTGACCAATGAAGTATTATGTTATATTTCCCTAGGTATGTCTGTCTGACCCATAAAGTATTATGTTATATTTCCCTAGGTATGTCTGTCTGACCAATAAAGTATTGTGTTATATTTCCCTAGGTATGTCTGTCTGACCAAATGAAGTATTGTGTTATATTTCCCTAGGTATGTCTGTCTGACCAATGAAGTATTGTGTTATATTTCCCTAGGTATGTCTGTCTGACCAATAAAGTATTATGTTATATTTCCCTATGTATGTCTGTCTGACCAATGAAGTATTATGTTATATTTCCCTAGGTATGTCTGTCTGACCCATGAAGTATTATGTTATATTTCCCTAGGTATGTCTGTCTGACCAATGAAGTATTGTGTTATATTTCCCTAGGTATGTCTGTCTGACCAATGAAGTATTATGTTATATTTCCCTAGGTATGTCTGTCTGACCCATGAAGTATTATGTTATATTTCCCTAGGTATGTCTGTCTGACCAATGAAGTATTGTGTTATATTTCCCTAGGTATGTCTGTCTGACCCATGAAGAATTATGTTATATTTCCCTAGGTATGTCTGTCTGACCAATGAAGTATTGTGTTATATTTCCCTAGGTATGTCTGTCTGACCAATGAAGTATTATGTTATATTTCCCTATGTATGTCTGTCTGACCCATGAAGTATTATGTTATATTTCCCTAGGTATGTCTGTCTGACCAATGAAGTATTGTGTTATATTTCCCTAGGTATGTCTGTCTTACCAATAAATTATTATGTTATATTTCCCTAGGTATGTCTGTCTGACCAATGAAGTATTATGTTATATTTCCCTAGGTATGTCTGTCTGACCCATGAAGTATTATGTTATATTTCCCTAGGTATGTCTGTCTGACCAATGAAGTATTGTGTTATATTTCCCTAGGTATGTCTGTCTGACCAATGAAGTATTATGTTATATTTCCCTAGGTATGTCTGTCTGACCAATGAAGTATTGTGTTATATTTCCCTAGGTATGTCTGTCTGACCAATGAAGTATTATGTTATATTTCCCTAGGTATGTCTGTCTGACCCATGAAGTATTATGTTATATTTCCCTAGGTATGTCTGTCTGACCAATGAAGTATTGTGTTATATTTCCCTAGGTATGTCTGTCTGACCCATGAAGTATTATGATATATTTCCCTAGGTATGTCTGTCTGACCAATAAAGTATTGTGTTATATTTCCCTAGGTATGTCTGTCTGACCAATGAAGTATTATGTTAGAATGCCCGTGGTACGAATGTGGCACAGAATCGTGCTAAACAAATGCGACTACCCAAGGTCACTTTCCCTGTCGCTAAGATCGATATCTATATTCGATTACAGCATTTCCGTCGTCTTGATGGATCATGTTTTTTTCTTTGTGCTGCCCTGGGCGAGCGGGCCCTCATTAACCCTTCGTTTACAAGATCGTCTGGAATGGCGAAGTTCTATATTTAGTAACAACACAAAGATGGTGCCAGTAACATTGCAAAACAATGATTGTTGTGACATCTCCAAGTGCATCTGCAAGGTCGTCTTAGCTGTAACATGTCCAAGTTCTGGAAGGTCGCCTTTGCTGTAACATGTCCAAGTTCTGCAAGATCGTCTAAGCAGCAAAAAATCAAAGTTCAAGGTCGTCTTTGTGACGTCACCAATAGTCAGGGAGATTTTTGCCCCCTTCCACGGAATAGTTGTAGACGCCTCTGAGAGCAAGTCAAAGGACACGTATTTGGTTATCGTTTAATTATTGTGACCGGAAAGATCAATGGTCAATCAATAACAGTTTAAAAAATCAATGGCAATTCAATAACATTTTAAAAGATCAATGGTATTTCAATAACGGTTTAAAAGATCAATGGCAATTCAATAACAGTTTAAAATATCAATGGTTAATCAGTAACAGTTTAAAAGATCAATGGTAATTCAATAACATTTTTAAAGATCAATGGTATCTCAATAGCAGTTGAAAAGATCAATGGTAAATCAAAAGCAGTTTAAAATATCAATGGTAAATCAATAGCAGTTGAAAAGATCAATGGTAAATCAAAAGCAGTTTAAAATATCAATGGTAAATCAATAGCAGTTGAAAAGATCAATGGTAATTCAATAAAAATTTAAAGATCAAATAATTTCAAAATCTTTCATAAAATCAGAGTTAGTTTAAACTGGAGGGTTAAGTTGTTGAAATCTTTCTACCTTACTCTGGGTTGTTATACTTCTATCTTACTCTGAATTGGAACAATTCTACCTTACTCTTGGTTTAAATCATTCTGCTTTTATCCGGTCTCATTACAATTAAGGTCATTTCTAGTTTGTCATTTTATGAAGACATATTGTCATAGATATTGCTCTCTTAAAGAGATATATCATATAACTTGGTATTTTTAAGACCTGTGTCATTTACCTTGATTTATCACGGACATTTGTCGTTTTAATTGGTCTTTTTAAGGCAGGTGTCATCTAAAGTGTTCTATTTAAGATATGTGTCATTTAAATTGTTCTATTTAAGATATGTGTCATTTAAAGTGTTCTTTTTAAGATATGTGTCATTTAAAGTGTTCTTTTTAAGATGTGTGTCATTTAAATTGTTCTATTTAAGATATGTGTCATTTAAAGTGTTCTTTTTAAGATGTGTGTCATTTAAAGTGTTCTATTTAAGATATGTGTCATTTAAATGGTTCTTTTTAAGATGTGTGTCATTTAAATTGTTCTATTTAAGAAATATGTCATTTAAATAGTTCTATTTAAGATATGTGTCATTTAAATTGTTCTTTTTAAGATATGTGCCATTTAAATTGTTCTATTTAAGATATGTGTCATCTAAATTGTTCTATTTAAGATATGTGTAACAACGAGTTGTTGTAGAAATCTATTTTTCTTGTGATTGATATATTGAGAGACGAGTTATTGTAGAAATCTATTTTTATTGTGATTGATAAATTGAGAGACGCGTTATTGTAGAAATCTATTTTTATTGTGATTGATAAATTGAGAGACGAGTTATTGTAGAAATCTATTTTTTATTGTGACTGATAGATTGAGAGATGCGCTATTTTAGAAGTTATTTACGGGGAGTTAAAAATGTCGATATTGTATCGCATTACTTCCCTTTGTTTGCAAGTGACGTCATGAAGGTCGTATGGCGAAATTTAAGTGGTCATTAAAAGAGTTTCCGGGTCGCCTCGCCCGGCCTTGTGCTGGCATCCATCATTGACAAGGGGAGAGTAATACAGCTCACTGAAGTTAGCGACCGGTTGCTCTGCTTGATTTGTTTGAATTCTATTAGGATTGATACCTCTAGCTCTAAGATAGTCTATGAGTGACAGTCTGCACATACCACATACCGTGTGACCATCGGGACCATTCGTGTGACAGTCGGGAAAATTGTGTGACATTTGGGACTCGTTGTTTGACAAAAAGCATGACATATAGAAATCGTTGTATGACAGTCGTCACTAATGGTGAGACGGTTGACACATGCTGTGTGACATTTGAGACTATTTGTGTGACAGTAGGAACTAAATTGTGACATTTGAGACTATTTGTGTGACAGTAGGAACTAAATTGTGACATCTGAGACTATTTGTGTGACAGTAGGAACTATATTGTGACATTTGAGACTATTTGTGTGACAGTAGGAACTATATTGTAACATTTGAGACTATTTGTGTGACAGTTGGAACTAAATTGTGACATTTGAGACTATTTGTGTGACAGTAGGAACTAAATTGTGATAATATTTCTTTCCTCTTTGTGTGACAAATTGCACTAAAGTGTGACATTTGGGACTTTTTTTTTTATTTCCTTAAATGCTGTCAATAAATTGAGATACTTAGGACTTCTAATAATTTTTAAAAAACCAGATCACATTCACTGTAAGTTTTTGCTATCAACTGTTTCGTGCATGTGTCTTTAGGTGGATGAAATAATTTTCTTACGATTACATAATTCATTACCACAATCGCAAACTGTAAGTGACCCACTTGTCCATCTTCTAGGCACCTGGGCACCAACATGTCGACCGACCAGGAGATGACCGAGATCTCGCGTGTTGACAAACAGCTCAACATTTATGTGTCCCCCATCATGGTGATACTTAGCTGGATAGGCAACGTGCTCAGCATCATGATCCTGAGGAGGAAAGCGTTCCGGTCGATGCCCATGTCCGTGTACCTGAGATTCCTGGCCGTCATGGACGCCGGCACGGTCGTCACTGGTCTTCTGCCAAGGTTTGTGGTGGCCTTGACAGGTAAGGGCAATCGAAAACTTTATTTTTTTTTATTTTTATCATTTATATTAACTTCGCTTTTGTTTAGGCGAAAATCTTCGGACGGCTAATTGATCCACTTCCCGTCAAATTTTGAGCTGAAGCTTGGCACATAGACTCGTTGCCAATGACAACATATTATTTCAAATTCTCAGACCACTAGCCAAAGCCCCAAAAATCAAGTTTTATTGTTTTACAAGGGGAAAAGTTAAGAAAATATGATGCCACTTGATTTCAGGAAATAAAATTCCCCCCGATAACTGCGCTCCATGGGATTATGTTCACAAGAATATCTCAACTGCGTGTGGTGAGTAATAGCTTATTTTGTTTTTCTGAAACATTTGGTGAAACCAAAGTGAAACCAACCTGCGATGTAAAAGCAGGTGGGACTTAGGAATATTTAATATAAAATAAAATAATAAAAATTGCCTATAAAAAACTGATCTGAAAAGCTTTGTTCTTATGGGTTGATTAATTTGACTCAGATCAAGATTTGTAGACAAGGTATTCAGCTCTAATTAAAAGTCATATTTACAGTCTTATAAATATTGAATTAAATTATAAAAAGTTTTTAAAAAAAACAAGTTTTAATATCAATTATATAACGAAGTATTAATCAAGCTGTTTTACATTTAAAATGAATTGAAGTTTTAAAATGTAATCGTGCTTCTAAAAAAAGTTGGTGGGGTGGGGGTGGGTGGGTGCTGAAGCTTCTAAGCTTCTAGAGGCATCACGGTGTCTATATTGTTAAAGAGTATTGAAATATCTTTGGGCAATTTATATTGCTTTAAAAGTGTCAATGGCAGAAAGCTTTTGTGAACTAGTTTTTTTTTTCAATTTTAAAATCAATTGATGAATTAATATTGGTAGGGGGTGGGTGGACTAGTTTAAGAAGAATTCGACAATTTTATTTTAAAATCCAGGGATTAAAAAACAATTTTCTGAAGAAAAAAGTTAGTCATGCCTCATGCACCCCCAAGGCCCCTAATGCCTTCAGCCCATTACTTGGCCCAGGGGGCCTCAGCAAATTACTTGGCTCAGGGGGCCTCAGCACATTACTTGGCCCAGGGGGCCTCAGCAAATTACTTGGCCCAGGGGGCCTCAGCATATTACTTGGCCCAGGAGGTCTCAGCATATAACTTGGCCCAGGGGGCCTCAGCATATTACTTGGCCCAAGAGGCCTCAGCACATTACTTGGCCCAGGAGGTCTCAGCACATTACTTGGCCCAGGGGGTCTCAGCATATCACTTTGTCCAAGGTCCCCGATGCTGTTAAGACGTTCATGAATACAAAAATTCATTACTTCAAGATTTCAATAATGCTTCAAAAATAACGAAATTACGACATAACATTATGGCAAAGCTGCTAAATTAAATTATACCATCATCATAACATTATATTATTAGACTACTATATTTTAAAATCAAAATTTTTATAAGATTAAATTATTTACACAAACTACATTATATCGTTACAATATAACATTATTATAGCATTACATTTTGACAACATTTTAACATTACGTTATCGTAACAATATTTTATAAACATGTGTGTTTCTTGTTGTAGGTGAATATCTCGATAACATTGCCATAACCATCTGTAATCTTAAACCCAACAAACAACTGGATTTAAGATTATTACATGATTGTGTCGATACAAGCTGGGTTTAAGATTGTAGATGGTTATGGCAATACCAGCTGAGTTTAAGATTGTAGATGGTTATGGCAATACCAGCTGTGTTTAAGATTGTAGATGGTTATGGCAATACCAGCTGTGTTTAAGATTGTAGATGGTTATGGCGATACCAGCTGTGTTTAAGGTTGTAGATGGTTATGGCGATACCAGCTGTGTTTAAGATTGTAGATGGTTATGGCAATACCAGCTGTGTTTAAGATTGTAGATGGTCATGGCAATACCAGCTGTGTTTAAGATTGTAGATGGTTATGGCAATGTCATGTTTTGTCCACTTGCAGGCTATGACGTCAGGGGCACCAATGAGTTGAGCTGCCAGTTCCAGGTCTACACCGTCTACGTCTTCACGGAACTGAGTGCCTGGACCCTGGTCATCGTGACCACAGAGCGCGTCATCTCCATCGTCAGACCCCACAAGGTCAAGCTGCTCTGCACCAAACACACGTCCTACGCCGCCCTCCTCGTCGCCACCATCTTCCTGGCGGGCGCCAACATCCCCATCTTCTTCTTCTTCGGACAAGCTCCTCTGCCCTCGGAGAGCAAGTCCTCGACTGACGTCATCCAGCAGTACCCAAACAGCGCCGTCACTGGCGGGGGTGCGTTGGTGGCCAATCGAACCGTTGTGGAATTCCTGCCATGTGGAATCAAGGGAGACAATCAGTTCAAGCAGACCTGGTTTGTGACTCATTTCTTAAAGCAGAGTCTTCTCCCCTTTGTCATTTTGTTTGTTTTCAATATTGTTATCATCGTCAGTTTGATCAAGCGCCGGAATAGTTTCAAGACAAAGTACGCCAATGACGCAGTCAAAAGCGCAGCCAATGACGCAGTCAATGACAGTAAAGAACATTTAGACGCGCCTGGGAACGCCGACAAAAGCCACGTAGCTCAGAAACGCCCAAACATGGCGTCCAGAAAAGACACGTCCATCTGTCTCATGCTGGTCACCGTCAACGCGGTCTTCCTCATCTGCAATTTCCCCATCGGCATCTACCAGCAGGTGGAGCCCACCCTCCCGAGGGAGGTGGTCGCCTCCCATGGCAACACCTTGCTATACACGTTCCTCGTGTTCATCTTGTACCTGAACAACACACTCAACTTTGTACTGTACTGTGTGTCCGGGTCGCGGTTTCGGACCGAGTTATGGAGCATGTGCCAGTGTCAGAAACAAGTGTAAGACAGACATTTATACACAAGTGTAAAACTTTTATAAACTAGTGTAAAAGAGACATTTATTTTGAAGTGTATACGAAAATTTGAATCGGTTGCTGAGAGTAAAGGTTTTAAACAATATGTGACATAGAATGACGTCAGAAGACATGACAAGATTGAGAGACCTAACTGACTATTAATTGCAAATAAAATACCTGGGAATTTTCATCTGACCTTTAAAAAAAGCACTAATAAAGGAAGCACTAATAAAGGAAGCACTAATAAAGGAAGCACTATAAAGGAAGCACTATAAAGGAAGCACTATAAAGGAAGTACTATAAAGGAAGCACTAATTAAGGAAGCACTAATAAAGGAAGCAATAATCAAAGAGGAACTAATAAAGGAAGTACTAATATAGGAAGCACTAATAAAAGAAGAACTAATGAAGGAAGCAATACGCTAATGGAGTGCTGATTATGAAAAAACTTATAAATGAAGCACTAATCAATTTCGCACTATTCCAGGAAGAAATTTTCAAAGAAACACTAATAAATAAACCACTT